TTCGAGCCCCAAGTCGGGTTCTGGAGCCTGGAGCCTGTTTTAGATTCTGTGTCTCCCTCTCTCTCTGCCCCTCCCTCACGCGCACTGTCTCTCTCTGTCTCAAACATAAATCAACATTAAAAAAAAAATTGTAAGCATAAAGGAAGTCACTAGAAAAAGTAACACTAGTCCTATTATCCATGAAAATCAGACGGTAAAGAGGAGAGCAGGAAGTAGAAGTACAGTGTTTTCATCATTGCTGGTGGAGGGAATCAATCTAAGTGATACAGAATTGAGTACATCATTTGAAGTTATGGTTATAAAGATAATCACTAAGACTATAAACAAACTGAATCTTTTATATTATCAGAAGAAATACACATAAAAGAGAAAAAATAAATAGGTCATGTAGCCAAATATAAATGATAAAAAATTGTAAAGTGGAAGGACAGCATGAAAAAGATGAAACAGGTGGGGCGCCTGGGTGGCGCAGACGGTTAAGCGTCCGACTTCAGCCAGGTCACGATCTCGCGGTCCGTGAGTTCGAGCCCCGCGTCGGGCTCTGGGCTGATGGCTCGGAGCCTGGAGCCTGTTTCCGATTCTGTGTCTCCCTCTCTCTCTGCCCCTCCCCCGTTCATGCTCTGTCTCTCTCTGTCCCCAAAATAAATAAACGTTGAAAAAAAAAATTAAAAAAAAAAAAAGATGAAACAGGTATCAAACGCGTGTCATTTATATGAATAAATAAAAATAGCACAAATTCATGCATTAAAAGCAAAAGAGTCTCAGATGGGATCGCAAAGCAAAACGAAACTATAAACAGTGGATTAAAGGATATATCCATAAGAAAGTAGCCGCTTCATTTTGTCGTCCTCTCAACTGCATTCAAACACGCATCTTATGCTTGCATCCCTGACTTCCTCCCTGAATAATCCTGTACAAAAGCCAATAGGCGGAGCCCAGCAAGGTAGGTGTCTGCAGGGGCGGGAAGGATGGGGGGTGGTACATCGCTGGAAAGCTGGAGCAGGGTGTTGGAAGTGTAGAGCCATGAGGAGGGTTATCTGCCCAGGGAAAGCAGGGACAAGGGGCAAGGTGGTGGCCTCTCGTGGGGTATCAGAGCCCAAGCAGGCGGGGGAGGTGGGGGGGTCTATGTGTTGCAGGGTGAGCAGGCCTGAATTCTACGGTGCCAGACTGAAATTGGGCATAACGAGAACTCATGGTTTTCAGTATATGTAAATAGATGCAGAAATACATCTAGATGTAAATGTGCATGTGTCATTTATTTGTACAAATACACATACATACACACACATGTGTATACGTATGTGCATTCATATATTCCCTAGTTTTGACTATGGAAGGGCCTGGAAGTGGCGACATCTCAAGAACAATGATCACACCGAGAGCCCGAATCTTTGTTTCTAAATACCATTAAGAGAGCAGAGTTCCTTGCAGAAATGGCTGCTACCGGGCAGGGCTGGTGCAGAGAAAATACACGATGAGTCTGGAATGCCTTGCTGTGCCAGAAAGGAAAAACTGCTCAAAGAATGATGGAGACACGACAAGAGAATACACATGCTAACCAAAAGGCTAGCTTACTCCCGCTATGGCCAACTTGTTTCAGATTAACCATGGTCAATGGAGAAGAAAAGTATTATAAAAGATTATAATAATAATGAAAAACAATGGTAGTAACAAAATTATAATTCATTGACTAAATAGGATGTTATGAGCCCATATTGATATAAATAAATGAATAAATAAATGGGGAAGTGAGAAAGACTTCCCTTACAGCAGAGTGACAGCTAATGAATGTAGAGGGAATGATTGAACTAGAAAATCACTATTTGGCAACCATCGCAGGAATAAGTAATTCAGCCTAAGTAATTCAGCCAGAAAGCATCAATGAGTGCTAAAACTAATTGGTAAAAGTTTGATGAGGAACAGGATACTTACATAGCCTCAAATTACTTTGCAACAAAATATATATATTAATTACAAAGAAGGAAAAGAATAACTTCACACTGGAGAAAACTGGCAGACGTCTGGTTAATCAGTGATCGATCGATCAAAGTTAACATCACAAAAATGGGACAAATCAAAATTACGAACCACCTGATAGAGTATAATATAAAGAATATAGTATGGCTTGCTGATATTCTTGCCAAAAATGCAGAACCTGCCTCTAATAATGCGGAAACATCAGATGAACCCGAACTGGGGGACATGCTCCACAATTGGCCCCTCATCTGTGGAAGAGGAAAAGCCATGAAAATCAAGGAAAGACTGAGGAACTGTGTCAACAGCATTCTACGCGTAATCTTGGATTGGGTCCTTTTGTCATAAAGGACATTATCGAGACAACTGGCCACATTTAAATGGGGCCTGTGAATTAGATGGTAATAAGGCGTCAATGGCGTATCGGATATTATGTGTGTAGTTTGAGAGGTGGTTGGTAGGGCTTTCAGAGGAGAGGGGAAAAGCATGCCCAGGGCCCCAGGGGTGGCTGAGTGGGTGCTCAGGAGGCATCCTAGTAAACTGCAGCTTTCAGGGTAGCCTCTCCATCAGCTCTCGCAGACCCCCAGTGCAGCACGCCAGGCCTTCTAGGGGGCACAGAGCAGCCAGTGCACGTGGGCGACATTCTCAAGGCCCCATCTCCAAGATGGAGAGTGTTTTCCACAGACTGCCCAGGCAGAGTCAAGTTTGGCCCAGACCTTCCGGCAGAGAAACTGGGTATGGCTGGAGTGAACTTGCAAGCAATGGACCCTGAAGAAGGGAACAACGGACTCCGGAAGAGCTGCTGGAGCCCGACTGAGAAGCAAGACAGAAGCTGCTCTCCCTCCCTGGATGCTCCAGAGTCCCCTGGAAGTGGGATCTTTCTGCACTTAACTGTTGACTCCCTCCTGAGCCCTTTCCTGTTTCACCTCCCTCTGGCTCTGTTACCCTCTGAGCAACCCTGTCAATGGCCTTATTTTCCTCCCTGTTCTAGTAACAGACCCCCACTGCTCCCCGGGGATGAGAGGCAGTCTGGGAAGTGATTTGAGGCAGAAACATTGATTTCCCAGGGTAGTCAATGGGTCTGAAAGAAACAGCACAGAATATGTAAAATGGATCCCCCCTGGAAAAGCAAGGGTTTATGGTTGCCGCACTGTGGAGTCAACACTCGCGATGCTTCGTGGGGGCGGTGAGCCATGGTGAGAAGAGCATGGAAATCAGAGCCAAACAGATCTGGATTCAAATCCCAGTCATGTCAGGTGACATCTATATCCCCTTGCTAAATTTACTTCACCTTTCTGAGCCTCAGTTTTCCAATCTGCCATCAATACCACCCTATGGATCAGTGTGAGAATTAAAATCATCGTGCGTCTGGCTCCAGATCAGACTCTCACAGAATGTTAGTCTCCTCCTCCTTCTCTCCAACCTCCAACATTCCAGCCAGCAGCCACCATAGTAATCTCTCTCTCTCTCTCTCTCTCTCTGTCTCACACACACACATTCAAAACAATAGACTTTCTGCCTCCCAAAATCCTTACCAGAAAAAAAGAGTTTGAGCTTTTGTTTAAAAGCCACCCTATTGCTGAAGGGAGTGTATTCCTCAACACCCTTGCATTAGAATTTCTCTGGACACTGGTTTTATTTATTTTTAAAAAAAATTTTTTCAAATGTTTATTTAAAAAAAAATTTTTTTTTGATGTTTATTTTCGAGAGAGACAAAGACAGAATGCGAGTGGGTTGGGGCAGAGAGAGGGAGGCACAGAATCTGAAGCAGGCTGCAGGCTCCCAGCTGTCAGCACAGAGCCTGACATGGGGCTCAAACTCATGTGCTGTGAAATCATGACCTGAGCCAAAGTCGGGACTCTCAACCGACTGAACCACCCAGGTGCCCCCATCAAATGTTTATTTATTTTTGAGAGAAAGAAAGAGAGAGCACGTGCATACGAGCGGGGGAGGGGCAGAGAGAGAGAGGGAGACCAAGGATCTGAAGCAGGATCTGCGCTGACAGCAGAGAGCCCGACGCTGGGCTCGAACTCACAGAATTGTGAGATCATGACCTGAGCCGAAGTCGGACGCTTAACCGGCTGAACCATCCAGGAGGCCCTGGACACTGGTTTCAAAATGCAAATTCCCGCACTACATCCCAGACCTGCTAAATGGAGAGGAAGGGAGCGGGTGAGTTTTCCTGCTCTCTGTCTCACATTCAAAATTCACTGAGAGGGATCTCATTGACCTGGGTTGGAACCATCCAGTGTGGAGGGTCAGAAATGGACACGTCTTGGGGTACCTCCGGGGGCTCTGTGCTGACAGCTCAGAGCCTGGAGCCTGCTTTGGATTCTGTGTCTCCCCCTCTGCCCCTCCCCTGCTTGCTCTCTCTCTCTCACTCTCTCTCTCTCCCTCAAAAATAAATAAATCATTAAACATTTTTTAACAAAATTAATTTAATGTTAAAAAAAGAAATGGACAGATCTCTTACCCAGGCCTCCTCAGAAGCCACTGGTCCTCCTTCTGCCCAGCCGGTTGGTGACTACCTCTAGATAAGACCCTGACTTCCTCACCAAACAGGAGTGGCCAGAGTAACAGGATCATCTGACCAAAGTCTGGAACCTGTGTGCAGAGAACCATTGTGACCTCTTTTCTCAGAACGAAGCTACACGCACGGCACACAGTCAGCATTCCCATCCATCTTTGCCCTGCCCCAGAATCCTTAACTGAGAGCAGGAGGAGGCTGGGCTCTTGGAGGGACAGATGGTCAAGGCTGGAGGCTGGTGGGGAGCCCTGGGGTAGGATCGCCATGTTTACCAAATAAAATATAGAACACCCAGTTAAGTAAGCAAAGTTTTACTATAAGTATGTGCCATGCAACATTTTTTAGGCTAGAACAAGCATTCCCTGCTTATCTGAAAATCATACGTAGCTGCATGGCTTGCATTTTATCTGGCAATCCCACCTGGGAGAGCAGGGACCAGGTCTGTTTTGCTCAGCGTTGAACCTCCAGTGCCCATTTCATGTCTGGCATATGGCAGACGCTCAATATATTCTTTTGAAATACTTAATTGTTGAAAAAGGCCTCTCAGAGGTCCCTCTCTCCCCGCTAAAAGGAAACATATCCCCCAGGGGCCAGCTTTGAACTCGCAAATTGACTCATTCAAATCATTAGACTAGAGCGCTTAGCTAGTGTTAAGATCTGTGCTAACCAAATTGGAACACAGAGATAAATAAACTGTGGCTCTTGTCCTCAAAATGGCAATTAACCAGCAGGAGCAATAGATCTGAACTGAGAATTACGAGAGAATATGATAGATGCTAGACAGTAAAACCAGAAGGTCAGGGCCAGGTGATTTTGCTCACCATTTTATCTCCAAGCACCTACAACCTGGCAGGCACTCAGTAAATAGTGGCGGAGTGGAAACGTGAAAAGACGGAGACAGGAACAGTGCATCGCAGGGTGGCAGAGGGGAGGTGACTAACTGAGGGAGGCGCGATGGTGAGAAGACTGGGGTCACTCCAGGGAGGGAATGACACCTGGTGTGGATTGTGCTGTCGGAACACAGCAGACAGATGGAAAGGAAAGAGCATTTCTGAGGGAGGAACAGCATGAACACATACAACATTTTATCGAGCAGGAAGTAGCACCTGGGGGCCAGTGATGAGGTCAGAAACGTGGAAAGCCCTGATCACATGGTCAAGGAGACTGGGCTTTATCTTAGGGGTAATGGATGGTCCTTAAAGACTTTTGAGTAGAGCCTTAGCCTGCACATCAGGCATTAGCATTAGCATGGAGGGTGGACAGCAGTGGAGACAGACTGGAGGCCGGAAGCCAGTGAGAAACCACTGAAATAGCCTAGTCTGCAAACGATGGAGGCCTAAACTTGTGGATTATTGGGGGTATTGGAAAATAAGCCTGCAGGAAGGAAACCGTACCCTTAAGGACTCGCTGTGAATGCCTCCATCTGTCCCCACCCCGTTCCTACGTGCCCCAGACGATGGGAGGGGAGGCTGCCGCAGAAAGGGGCAATTGTGGAGGAAGGGCAGATGGGAGGCAGCCCAAGACAAACTTCCTTCACTTCGAAGACTTGCCCAAGGAGACAGGAGGGCTAGAGGGATTGGAGGCTGACCCTCAGCCCCCAGGCTCTTCCCTCCCGCTGCTGCCAGGGGGGATGCGGGGGCGGGGGTGGGGGGATGCGGGGGCGGGGGTGGGGGGGTGGGGGGGGAAGAAGGCTTCACCTCTCACCTTGGCCCACAGAGTCCACAGTTCTCTTGGGGCCTGCAGGTGGGACCTTACCCTCAGGGCGTAAGCCACGCCCCCAGCAAGCCACGCCCCCTGCTGAAGACCCGAGGTGCAGTGTCAGGGTACAGCCGACCCCCTTCCTGGAGATGATCCCAAAACATGTCCCAGAGAGATTATCAAAAATTCCAACCTAGTAATTACCCAAAGAATACAAAAATACCAATTCAATGGGATACATGCACCCCGATGTTTATAGCAGCATTATCTACAATAACCAAATTGTGGAATATATATATGTGTATATATATATATATATATATATACACATATATATAATATATATGTGTGTATATATAATATAAATGTGTTTTTTATATATTATATATTATATAATATAAATATAAATATATAATATAAATGTGTATATATATACATATATATATAATACACACACAATGGAATATTACTCCATGAAAAAATAAAATCTTGTCATTTGCAACAACATGGATGGGGCGAGAGTATTAGGCTGAGCAAAATAAGTCAGAGAAAGACAAATACCATATAATTTCACTCATATGTGGAATTTAAGAAAGAAAACAAGCAGGCAAAGGGGGGGGAAAGAGAGGTGGGGGAGAGGCCAACCAAGAAACAAACTCTTAACAATAGAGAACAAACAAACTGATGGTTACCAGAGGTGTGGGGGGGGGGGGGATGAGTGAAATAGGTGATGGGGATTAAGGAGGGCACTTGTGATGAGCACAGGATGACGTACGGAAGTGTTGACTCACTACACTGTACACCTGAAACTAATATGACGTTGTCCGTTAACTAACCGGAACTTAAATAAAAACTTTTCAAAAATTCCAACCTGAGGGAGGCACAGAAGATCAATGAGTTCAGCCCTAGGCCCAGAGCCAGGCCCAAGTCCTGGGTGCGTCCCCCACCACCTCTCATGTGGCTCTTTGGGCATCTCACCCACCTCTGGAGCCACCAGACCTTACCTGTAGCAGGCACAGAGTTTGGAGTTAGACTCACATGGGTTCAAATCCACCCAGATGTGTGACCTCACCTTTGTGAATATCGCTTTTCCTGCTTGATGAGTAACACATACCTCACAACCATGATGAATTAAGTAAAATATCCCATATGAACAAACTCTGCACAGTACCTGGCATGTAATCAGAATTCCTATAACGGCCGCGCTCCTTCATTCCTGAACTGACAGAGTTTTATCTGCAGCCTACCTGCCTTTATTCATTCACCCTCCTAATATATTCTGGGTGCCTACTATGTACCAGCTCCTTCTAGGTTCTGGGAAAACAGTGGCAAGCAAAACATAGTTCCACCACCCATCACGGAAGTTCTGTCCTCCTGGGGCACAGAGATATTAACTGATCACACAAATAAAAATAAAATTACACCAATAATGAGTACCATGAAGGAGAGAAACTCACACCCACTTAGTTATTCCAAGGACTTCCGGAGGTGGAGCCTGGGGCTGACACACCTTTGGCATGGCCCACGCCAGGGAAATGCTGGGGGCCTTACTTTCCTGTTAACTGGTTTCCCAGAAGCTCCATTTCCCAACAACAAATGTATTCAGAAAAGGGAACTTGGAAGGGGAAACCTGGAATGCCCTCAGATCCAATCCGGAACCAGGTTCCCCAGAGCCCTTTCCCACCCCAAGATAAATAAAGCCTAAAGCCTCTGCCGGACTACTGCCTCTGCAACACTCAACAGACTCCCCAGGGAAGACGGATCTGGCTACAGGTTCACCATGAGATTCTTTACCATCCTGCTGCTGGCCACCTGAGCCTCCACATCTCTCGCCATCCTTAATGGTGAGTCTGGCTTCTGCTACACTCCTCTTTGTTCCCCAGAGGTCACTGAGCTGTCCCCTGGAGAGTCGTCAGCAGTAGGAAGACCCCTCCTTAATCTTTGTAATGCACCGTGTGGAGAACGCATAACCAAAAGTGCACACCCGGGATGGCTGAGGTGTGGAGGCAGGGGACTAGGACTCACGATACCAGGAATCCTGCACCCTAGAAATCCTGGCGCTGGGGCCAGAGGAGCCAACTGAACCCAAATCAAGGTGGACTATGGGTTAACAGAGATTCAGATAAGATTCCAGCCTCTGAGGGTGCTGGACACACCAAAGCCACTGACCTCCTCTGGGCCCCCCTGCCTCCCTCTGTAACAATGAGGGCAAGACATATACACACATTCATTTAACGACTATTTATTGAGCACCTACTCTGTGCCAGACACACAGCTCTAGGCACTTGAGATACACTAACAAAACACAGAGACCTCAGTCATCATTGAGATGTCATTCTAGGAGAAAGAAACAGATAATTGGCATATTACACAAATTATATAAGTGTGTTAGAAGTGCTAAGACAGGGGTGCCTGGGTGGCTCAGTCGGTTGGACGTCCGACTTCGGCTCAGGTCATGATCTCACAGTTGGTGAGTTCGAGGCCCGCGTCGGGCTCTGTGCTGACAGCTCAGAGCCTGGAGCCCGCTTCAGATTCTGTGTCTCCCCCTCTCTCTGCCCCTCCCCTGCTCATGCTCAGTTTCTCTCTATCTCTCAATAATGAATAAACATTTAAAAATTAAAAAAAAAAAAAAAACAAAAAGAAGTGCTAAGACAGAGAACAGGATAAGGAAGGTGGGAATGCTGGGTGGGGAGTGGCTACATACAAGCATCTCACATGCCAAATGTCTTAAGACCTCCGGAAACTCTAACCCCTTATTTTTCAGAGCCAGAAGATGAGATCCACTTGCAGGCTCAACCCATAAATGCCCATAAGTCTCATGTTGGCATCCTTTAGAGGGAGTTGGTGGTAGTGAAAGATGGTCCAGTAAATGATGAATTCTCCACCTGAGGAAGAAATGGAGCAGAGACCATCCCTCCTGGCGCTGGACCTTAATCCTTCCTGCTGCACTAATTGGCCAAGATCTGGGGACCGGGAACAATTTGAACAGCACTTCATGCTGGGTAGTCATTGAAGATGACTATATCTCATACCCAAATGCTAGCAGGTAGGGAGTTTCAGCTCACCCTGAGGGGAGGATGCTGGAGGGGCTCCTCGGTCCCAGGCTCCTCCACGGCCTCAAAGTCATGAATATCGCAGGACCCTGCTTTGTAGATTATCCATGAACACAATTCAGTCTCAGGCTAGCTTCCCCCAATTTATCGGAGAAGGAAGACTCAAGCAATACCCAGAACTCAGAAAAAAAGAGCCAGTATTTATTGAGCCCCTCCTATGCACCAGACAATGGATCGGGTGTTTGCATAGTTAATCTCTTTTCATCGGGAAGGTGAATGTGCTAGAATGGAATCCCTATTCAACGGCATTCAAAATCAGGGGTGTGCCCTTAGGTGCTCATAAATTTGGATGCAGGCATTGGATCTCAATTCTGGTCTACACTGACTGAGCAATGGCTCAACCCTGACACTCTCTGCATGTTAAGGGATATGGCAGAGAGCTGGCTGGCTGTTGCTTACCATGAGCTCTTTCTCTGCCCCTCATTCCATCTCCTTGGTCCCAGCTGCTCAGCTGATATGTGAAAAGGACCATGTCTCCATTGAAAACCTTTCTGAGGAATCTCTCATCTCCAGAGAAGAGCTGGTTTTTGAAGAGGATGACATGACCAAATCTACCAGGAGACCAAAACGTCAAAGGCCCGAGCTGCTTCACCCCATCCCCCAGGAGGAGAGTATCAGAAATGCTGCCTCTCAGTCAGAAGAGACTACAGAACTCACTCCCAGGGCTGGTAGGAGCCAGGGCCAAGGGGAAGAAGCCGGGAGGGAGGCATTAAACAGAAAAACGCGGTGGCGGGACACTACCTTGGGGGAGAAAGTTGGGGGTGGAAAGAGAAAGGAAGCTGAAGGGGAACAAGAATTAAAGGTAAATGAGATTTGGAGGATCCGCTGATTGTGCCAGCACTGAGGAGTGTGGGGGAGGCGTGAGGGGACTAACCTTACTTTGCCATTTCTCTTCCAACGTTCCCCTGCAACCACCTCAGAGGGAAAACTGGCCAAGCTCGGCCATAAAATCGGGAAGAATCTGGACAAAACTGTAAAAGAAACCATGAGCTACCTGAAAAACCTACTCCCTCATGCCTATGAAGTCATAAGGCCCTAATGATAATAAGGCCCAGTCCCGGCCAAAGCTGGTGTCTACGGCACCCAAACCCTCCTTGCCCCGACCACCATCTCTCAGCTCCCCACGTCCCTTATTAAAGCGCTGCATCCCAGTCTGGCGCTGTGGTGGCTTTGTCGGGCCAGGAGGGAAGGCGGAGGCCCCCACTCCGCTAGGATTCTTCCTGAGTTACCCCATCGCTCTAATTTTAAACCTCTCCTCCTCAGCTTACAACCTGTTCAAGTCTCCACGTCCCAAAATATCCTCTGTGAGGTCTTGACTCCCCTCAAGCTGCCCCTCCTCTTCATCCACACTGCCTCCCTGCTCCCTCACCCCCTGCACCCCTCACCCCCTGCAATCTGCATTTTCACACCCTCCAGCAACTGCTCCCCCCAACATCACTGACAGCAACAAGCCCGGTGGCTATTTCTGGTCCCTACTCCTCTCTTCATGGTCTCTGCAGAACTGGACACGATTACCCCTTCTAGAAAGTTTCCCCGCACTGACCTCCCAATGTGCTGCACTCTACTGGTTCTCCAAGCCCCCCATTTCCTTCCTGGCACATTTTCTGACCATGCACTCTATGCTCCCAGGGTCCCATCCTGTGCCCTCTCATCTTCTCTCCACCTTCCTTCCTCTACATCCCCATTTGCCAAGACTTCAGCTTCTCCTCAGGGTGGATGGGGTCTACCCATTTACCCACCACCACACATCCACCCAGTGTCTACTATATGTCACACTCATCTACCTAATATGTGCCAAATTACCCTACCCCCCCCCCCACACACACACACACACAACCCTGGGCAGTTTTCACTATAAAGGCATATGGGACCAAATGGGGAAAGAAGAGACTGGGAAAATCAAAATCTCTCTCGGTCTTACAAACGGAAGGAAGATTGCCCATTCGAAGGGAGATAGGATGGCAGGAAAGAAACTATGAGATAATAGAAAATATATGTATTGGTCTCTGTTCCCCCATACCTGGCACAAAGCTTCAAAATCCTTGTAATTTCCTAAGTGATAAGCACATTAGAATCATCCCTGTTCTAGTATCTGGACTTTGACGCATCCCAGCGATGGGGATCCTAAGACTCTTGTAAGTTCCTAAGTGATAAGAGTGACAGGAGCATCTTTTGTTCTAATGAGGTGACTCCGGTGCGCTCTTGGAGGCTCCTGGGTGGAGGCTGGCAGCCAGAAGGACCAAGCCATCATTAGAAGCTTGGAACTTTCAGCCCCACCCCTACTTCACTGGAGAGGGGAGAGGGGCTGGAAACAGAGTCAATGATTGATCATGCCCCATGTGATAAAGTCCCCATAAAATCCCACTACAGTGAGGTTCTAAGAGCATCCAGGTTGGTGAACACATCCACACACCAGGAGGGTGACATCACCCAGTTCCACTGGGATAGAAACACCTGCCCTCAGGACCCTCCCGGACCTTGCCCTGGGTATTTCGTTGTCTGCCTGTTCAACTGTATCCTCTATCATATCTTTTAATAAACTGATAAACTGGTAAACAAAGCATTTCTCTGAGTTTTGTGACCCGCTGTAGCAAGTTAATTGAACTCAAGGGAAGGGTCATGGGAAGCTCTGATTTATATGATTTATAGCCGATCAGTCAGAAGAACAGGTGACAACCTAGACTTGCAATTGGCATCTGAAGGAGGACAGTCTTGTGGGACTGAGCCCTTTCCCTGTGGGAGCTGACGCAACCTCCAGGTACTGTCAGAGCTGAGTTGGATTGTAGGACACCCAGTTGACCAGAGTTGCTTGATGGGAGAAAACTCACACGCACTGGGAACCAGAAGTGTCGGAAGTGAAGTGTTCTGTGTGTGAATAAGGAAAGACAGATGGATGACTGAGTTTTTCCAACGCAGGAGCCACCTCTGATGTCTATTATCCTACCCCCAGGACATAAAAAAAAAAAAAATGCACTTGGAAGATCAACAGGGTGATCCACCCACAGCAACGCAGGCCAGGTACTGCCCTGGCCCAGAAAAAACTGGAAGTGTGTTCACAGCTGGGGGCAGATAAAATAATCTCCATCCTTCCTTCCTTCGCTTTTTCCTGGTACAGAAAGTTTCCACCTGCCCACTGCCCTTAGTTACCCACCCTCCCCTCCAATACAAAGACATACTCACAACTCCACCAAAAACATCACGCAACCTAGATGGAAAGTTCTATTATGGGTCTTTCTCATAAATTCTTGCCAGGCATAAATTCTTGAGATGAGGCATAAATTCTTGCCAAAATGACAGAGGAAGGTGGTGAGAGATTCTGGAGTTTAGGAAAGAATTGGAGGGGAAGTTCCTTGAGAAGATTAGGTTAGGAAAATTGAAGTGTCTTGGAGATTAAAAGCCCCAGACTCATTGTTCTGACCCTCCAGTTGAGACCAATAAAATGACATGAGGGTCATTACATAATGGTGAAATAAAAAAATGACATGAGGGTCATTACATAATGGTGAAAGCATCCAGCTTCCTAGCAGCTGGACAGATGTTTTATAAACCCAAAATTCAGGGCTCTTGGTTAAAACTGGATAGGAGACCCCAGGCCAAAGGAGCCTTCGGCTTTGACCCCATCTCCCCATTCCCACCCCACCCTACCCCACCTCACCCCCGATTCACAGACTAAATGAGAGATAGGGCAGGATGAGCTACTCTGGGGTTCTCACCCATAGGATCATCTACTTTTCCCCCAAAGGAGAGTAAGCAACACACGGGAAAACAGGCTGGGAAGTATTCCCTCCAACCTGCTCCTCTTGTGGGGAGGGTGCTTCTAAGAGGGAACACCCTCAACATGGAGTAACCTTCTCTTCTCTCCACCCTTTTGGCTTAACAGGTGGACCTAGGATCTGCAACCAATCACAGGTATGGCTGGAAAGACAGGAAGGGAAGGGGAGGGGGGAGGAGAAGACAAGCCATGCATCAGAGCAGTCTCCCACATCACAGATATTTGGCCATTCCTGACCTACAAAGTGGCCATATCAGGGGCACCTGGGTGGCTCATTTGGTTAATGATTCAGTGGATCACACGGTTCGTGGGTTCGAGCCCCGTGTCGGGCTCTGTGCTGACAGTTCAGAGCCTGGAGCCTGCTTCAGACAGCTCAGAGCCTGGATTCTGTGTCTTGCTCTCTCTCTGCCTCTCCCCCACTCACGCTCTGTCTACCCTTTCTCTCAAAAATAAATAAACATTAAAAAATTTAAAAACAAAACAAAACAAAACAAAACACCAAAGTGGCCATATCATATGGCCCACTGATTTCTGTAGCCCCTGCTATGTGAAAGAAGGAAATAAGAAATAGATTTCCAAACAGGAAATGGGGAAATAAGTTTCTGAGTGCTTTACATATATTTGCTCACTTAATACTTGCAAACAAACAAACAAAAAATGACGTAACAAGTTCTCATCACTATTCTTTGTATATCCTCCTGGAATCATTGGGGTGGCCAATTAACTACTGCCCCCCAAGTCCTCTCGATTGGGTCCAGAGGGGACCAAAATTAACTCCAAGACAACAGCATCCAGGTTGGTGAACACATCCACACACCAGGAGGGTGACATCACCCAGTTCCACTGGGATAGAAACACCTGCCCTCAGGACCCTCCTGGACCTTGCCCTGGGTATTTCGTTGTCTGCCTGTTCAACTGTATCCTCTATCATATCTTTTAATAAACTGATAAACTGGTAAACAGTTTCTAGCAACCAAGAAGTACTCTAAATTTGAACCTAACCCCCCCCCTCCTAATTTCAAAAGTAACACAAAACAAAATCTCAGTATACTTTTCTTTTACATTAGAATGCAAGAAAATGAAACATCCAAAATTCTTCCCTTTACCATGTCCTGTTCTGCTCGTTCTTACCCAGGAGGCATCACTCCGAAGGAACCTAGCTTCGTCCATTTGCCTGGACATCCCCAGTCCTCAAGAATATCCGTTGGTCACAAGGTCAGTTCTCCATTTCCCCCACGCGGCTGCCAGGGCT